TTTTGTGTTAAAAGAAGTATTTATTTCAAAACAAAATGAATGAACCGATCAATTAAAGTATTTTCCATCGCTGGCTACTACTTTCTCCCATTTCTCAGGCAATTTTCGAATTCCATCTCGAAAAAATGATTCGTCTTTTGAGGCGATCCAAGTTTGGAGCCAATTTTCGATATCTGCGAAAGAAGTGAACCGGTGACCTGCCAAATCGTGCTGCATCCTTCAGTACAACAGTACTTCAGAACAACAGTAATCAGAAGGAGCAATGTCCGGAGAATGCGGTACGGCGGATGCGGTAAAACATCCCATTTGAGCGTTTCCAAATATTTTTTTACGACTTTTATGACATGAGACCGAGCGTTGTCATGAAGAATAGCTTTCAACGTCCAAGGCACCCAATTTCCTTGCTTTGAATAAATCCCATGTCTCTCAATTGTACGGAAACGGCTTGTTGAGTCACTTCCAATGATCCTGCAAGATCCTCTTGCGTTTGACTCTGATCTTCTTCGAGTAATGCCTCTAATTCTTTGTCCTCGAATTTTTTTGACTGTCTAGAGCGAGGCTTGTCTTTTTCTGACAAGGCTGAAATCTTCATCCTTGAAACGTCGCAACCATTCCCTACATGATTTATCAGTTGGAGCAGCGTCACCATAAACTTCAACAAGCATACGATGGGCTTCAGCTGCACTTTTCTTCCAATTAAAGCAGAAAATTAAAACCTCCCGCAAATGCTGCTTGGTTAACAAAAAATTCGACATTTTCAACACTGTAAAAAGCAAGGTTTTTGTATGAAACTCAAAGCGATATAAACTGAATATTATTGGCAGATGTCTAACCTCTCTGAAACCGCCAAAATCGGCAGTCACTATGAACTATTCGTAACAGCCGGAGCCATCTTTTGAAAACGGACCGAACTAATTTGTACACTCAATACAATACAAGAGATCGCAGAGATAATTAATTTATCTCAAAAGACAGTTATGAACCACTTGCATACGCTTGGCTACGTGTCTCAGTACGATACAGGTACCTTATAATTTGAGTGAAAAACATTTGATGGACCGCATCTCCATCTGCGATTTATTACTCAACTACAATGAAAATGTTCCATTTTTTGAACGGATGATAACGAGCGACAAAAGTGAATTGTGTATAACAATGTAAAACGCAAAAGATCATGAGGAAAACAAAATGAACTGCCGCAAACTACACCGAGGCAAATCATTCACACAAAAAAAGTTGTTGTGTATTTGGTAGGATTGGAAAGGAATCGTGTACAATAAGCTGCTTCAGCAAAATTAAACAATTGATTCCACCAAATATTGTTCCTAATTTGTTCCTAGTTTGTTCCTAATTTGCTGTTTAAAGGTAGCAAACATCCAAAATTGAACAATCGTTATGGTGTTATATTCCACTAGAACAACGTTAGACCTGACCTATCTTTGATAACCCGGCAAAAATTATTGCATCTTAGCTGGGGTATTGCCTTATCCTCCGTATTCGCTTGATCTGGCATCATCAGACATCTACTTACTCAGGTTTCTGCAGAATTCCCTCAATGGAGAAAATTTCACTTCTCTGAAGGCCTGCAAAAAGCATCTTGAGCAGTTTTTCGCTCATAAAACTGGGAATTTCTGGGAGAATGGAATCTTTAAATTGCCTGAAAGATGGCATAAGGTTATCGAACAAAACGGTATATACATTGTTCATTAAAGATATTTTTTAATACGAAAATGTTGTCTTTGAATTTTATCTAAAAATACGAAATTACTTTTTACTCAACCCAATATAAAATGGATCTAAAAAATTGCAAATAGAAGCAGCAAACACGGCTGTCTACAGCCAAAAGGTAGCAGTGACTGAAAAAAGCTCATTTGTACTTTGGCGTAATGAAGATTTAAAAGTGATAAAATTGGTTGCATTCGGAGCTAAAGCCTAGACCCCTATTCCCAGTGTAGAAGAAAATTGAACAATAAAACTAAACCTGGAGGAGTATGTGCCGATTATGGAGAAAACATAAAAGAATATAATTTTTTTTTAAGCCAGAACAAGTACGCAAGAAATTTCACATTCGAGGAATGATAAGAAATTAATATCAAGAAGAAAAACATAACTAAAACGATATGGAAGTACTTGTACACGAATACGGACTAACTCAGGATGAGTTAAAAATTCAAGATGAAATTTAGTCGCAGGAAGACTCAGTCAACTTGCTGCGAGAAGGAACAGAAGTAGTAGAACTAGAAGAAATTTCCGAAGGAAAAGAAGAATTGTTTCAGGAGACTGAAAAAAATCATTTCTAACGGAATTTTTAACGGAATAAAGAATTCTAAGCGATCGTAAATCTATACGAAAAGCATAGATATGATGATTATCAGGATATAAAATTACTTTTTATGATGACAAAACTAACCTAACCTCCAGTTTTCCTAACCTCCAAAGTCTTCCAGTTATAAAGAAGCAATAATCAATTATGAAACTGTACGATGGAAATATATCATGTATTAGAGATTCAAGCGTTGAAACAAAATCACATATGGCAGAAAATAATGTTACCATCTAGGCAGAAAGTTATAAAAAATGGTTAAGTATATAAAATTAAGGAAAAACCAAGTAGCGAGATGAAGGAAATTTTGAAGATAATTAGAAGCCAAAGAGCATCACATATTCACAAAAATATGGAGTCGACTATAACGAAACATTCAATTCCGTAGTTAAATATGATTTACTTCGAATAATCTTAGCCATGGCAAATCCAAGGATTTAGATTAAAATAGTCTTTCTATATTTATATATTATTTATTATTATATATTTATATATTATTTATTATTATATATTAATATTTATTATTATATTATTTATACTTCTATAGACTTCAGGAGAAAATCTATATGGAACAACTAAAAAGATATGAAAATGAGATAAATCATGTATACAAACTAATCAATAGTATATATGACCCAAAAGTAATCTGAGAACTACACTATCGGATCTATGTGTCTTTCGAAATAAAATCTGTAAAATTTTAGTTGTCATATACAGGATATTTAAAAAAAACATTCAGGATTTTAAGGGCAGATCAGACAAAATGGAGGAAAAGATCCTAATAAACATAGGTTGAACAATTAACATTGTCAGAGTTATAAACAATTATTTATTTTAATTATAGTAAGTGACCTGTTCCCTTCTGGTGTTTGCAAAGTTTACAGAAGATTCTTTCTACATGTCCTTCTATTTTAAATTTAAATAGGTCTTTCGATAAAAGATGGATTGAAGATGAGGTGAACTAATCTCGAAATTCCCTTTTTTTGCTTTCCTAATTTAAATCCTGTTGATTTTTTATAGGGATTCCTTAAAAACATATTAGATGTACAAATGAATAATCCAAATTATTTTAAGCAGTTATGAAATAAATTTTAAATTGAATACATTTTCCCGCTCTTTTATGATTATGCAATGTTGACATATAGCTATTAAAAAGAACATATAGTTTGGCGAAAGGCCCAACATAACCTTCCAAAATATTCAGTTCAATACAGTCGAAAATGGCAACAGATAAGGTGCATATCCGACACTGCATTCTTTACGAACAAGGAAAAAATGCTGCAAGAGCGTGCGAATCGATTTGTTCCTTTCTCGGCGAAGGTGTTATATCGTACGATGTGTGCGCATTTTGGTTTAAGCGGATTAAAAGCGGTAATTTCAGTCTAATCGACAAACAACGCCCTGGAGGCCCTCCGAAGTGCGATAATGATGATTTGGAACAACTGTTCGCTGAGAATTCGGCACAAACACAAAAAGAGCTTGCAGAACAGTTGGGAGTAACGCAGCAAACGATTTCCAAACGCCTATATGAGATGGGAAAGATCCAAAAAGAAGGAAAATGGGTGCCTAACTGCATGAACTCACTGAAACCAACCAAAATCAACTAGTGGCAGCGTGTCTTTCTCTTCTCAATAAGCAGCGTCGAAAGTCTTTCTTGTGGAAAATCGTTACGGGCGATAAGAAATGGATACTCTATGACAATCCGAAACGCAGAAAGTCATGAGTAAAACCCGGCGAATCATCAAAATGGATCGCAAAACCCAATCGCTTCGGAAAGAAGGTTCTTCTCTGCATTTGGTGGGATATCAAGGGCGTGCTTTATTATGAGTTGTTGGAACCGAGTGAAACAGTTACTGCAGACTGCTACCAACGTCAGTTAATCTGCTTGAGTCAAGAATTGGAGAATTGGAAAACGCCCGTATACTGGCAAAGGAAAACGTCCAGTGAAATTGTTGCATGACAACGCCAGGTCACACATTGCTTCCAATACAAAAGACACCATAATGAGTCTTGGCTAGGACGTCTTGCAGCACCCGGCGTATTCACCAGATATTGCTCCATCCGATTATCACTTGTTCCGGTCGATGCAACACGCCTTGTCCGATATGCACTTCCAATCAGTGGATGAGATCCGATAATGGCTTGACGACTTCATTGTGTCCAAAAACGTAACATTTTTCCAAGATGGAATTCATCAGCTGCCTGATAGATGGCTTAAAGTTATGGAAAGCTACAGCGAATACTTTGAATGAACAATTTAATTTACTTTCTTTTAAAATAAACCTTGAATGTAGCAGAAAAAATTGGATTATTCATTTGTACACCTAATACATCAATTATGAAGCGCGTAGGTTTATGTATTCTCAAATTTTGTATAGAAGTTTGCATAGAAATTTTACGTACCTTAAATTTTCGTTTGTTGTTGAAGGTATGCCGTGTGTATGACAAACACAGTCTATTTTTCTTTTGGTAGTGCTTCAAAGCTAGGGCTTTTTCAATTTTTGGAGACTATGTGCCAAATGTATATGTGATTGTAAAAATAAAATAAAAGCAAATAAAAATTGCTCAATTTCACATCTTTGTTATTTAACTATAACCTCAATAGATTTCATTATAAATTTCATTACAAATTGCAATAATTCTTTTTAAAATAAGCAAGACTAAATTCTTTTTTCAGATTCCAGCAGACCGAGGTATGCGAGTGGTTAAAATTGGAGGACCGATTTATCGCATTGGTGTAGGTGGCGGATCAGCGAGTTCTGTAGAAATTCAAGGTGACAACAGTGTGGAATTAGATTTTGGTGCTGTACAACGTGGCGATCCTGAGATGGAGCAGAAATTGAATCGTATGGTACGAGCGTGTGTGGAGATGGGCGATAACAATCCAATTCTCAGTATACATGATCAGGGCGCTGGTGGCAATGGTAATGTCCTCAAAGAATTGGTAGAACCCGCTGGTGCTGTGATCTTTACGAAATGTTTTGACCTTGGTGACCCCACTATTAACTCTTTGGAGCTGTGGGGTGCAGAATATCAAGAAAGTAATGCAATATTGTGCAAGCCTGAAGATAGTAATTTGTTAATGAAAATCGCTGCACGTGAAAAGTGTCCTATCAATTTCGTCGGTACAGTCACTGGAAATGGAAAAATTATCGTTTCCGAGGAGGAAGATTGTGACACTTCTAAATATCTCAACAATGAAGACAGAAGTATAGGAAACACCATAAAGTATCCTGTGAATTTGGAATTGGAACTTATTCTTGGAAATATGCCTCGTAAAGTTTTCAACCTGCAAAAAGAATTGTCGTATAGGTCATTAATGAGGTTACCTGAGGGATTAACTGTGTCTAGTGCTTTAGACAGAGTTCTTCGATTACCTTCGGTGGCTAGTAAACGGTATTTCTTTATAGATATGTTTTTATTAAAGTTAAGCTATAAAAAGTTACTTTGTAACTTGATATCTTTGCGATTAACAAAACTTTATATTTACAATGGGCAATTTGCAATATTTCATTATTCATTAAACTTTTAATTATAGGTTGATTTACATTTCACATTATTTTCTCATAAACTATTGTATTTCTACTTTTTTAATTTCTAAGTAAAAATCAAACATGTAAAAAAATTATAACTGAATATACAAGGTGTCCCAGAATAATTTTTACGGAGCTTGTAGAGACATAGACCGGATTAAGACAAACATAAAAGTTTTGTATCGTTTTTCAATATTCGTAACAGTTATCGAATTATTAATTATAAAAATCTGACGAGTGAGCGTGCGCCGAGATGGATGATTGAAGAAACATCATAGCCACTCGGGTCATAGCACGGCTCAATTGATCCAGCAACTGTTGCCGGCGTGTGGTGAGACAATTAGAAGTAGTTAGATAAAACACGAATAATGGCGCGTTATCTTTATCCTTGTCGCGCATCAGTCGGCAATAGCAATTGTTAGATCGACTGGGCCGCGCTGTGGCCCGAAAGACTGCAACGCTTCTCCAATCATCCATCTCGACGCGTACCCACTCCTTAGATCTCTATTATTAATAACTCGATAATTATTGCGAATATCGCAAAACAGTATGAAACTTTTATGTTATTCTTAACCCTTTTGATACAACTATGTCGTTCGCGTATGCTTCCGGTGTACGGATACTCGAATAAGATTCTATTGTACGAGCCAATTACAACGTATATTTTACCGTGGAGTGGGTATAATATTTCATATTTGGTAAAATAATGTAAACTACAGATAAATTGTTCATAAAGGATGAAATATTACAATGTAATATATTTTAAATTATTCAGATTTAAAATATTGTTTAATAATATAATTTCTGGTGATTATATAGTCATCCGTAAGACAGTGAGTGTGCGATGATGGATAAATATAGTCACCTGTAGGACACAGTGAGCGTACGATAATGGGTGACTATAATCACCCATCATCGTACCCGTTAGTAGTCGAAAGGGTTAATCCACTCTATATCTCCGCGAGCTCTGTAAAAATTGTTCTGGGACACTCTGTATATATATAGGGTGTCCCATTTTAAAAAAGCCAAGCAAAAATCTCGAAAAATATGAAAGATATTAAGAATATCAGACAAAAGTTGTGTGGGTTGAAGGGAGCATAAAATAGATGGTGCTATTAATGTGACCTCGGACAGCTATTTGAAGGTTACATGAGGGTCACATTCAATTTTTTAAATAGAAACCTCCATTTTTCATTGTATATTCTTATAGCTTATTTCGAGAGCTTTTCAAAACACTATGATAAAATATTTTTTCACTAAGTACTTTTCAAATTATGAAGTTTGAAAATTACACATCTGATGGTGACCTTGGCCAAAAGGTTAAATTTGGAGGTTAGTTGATGTTTAACTTACAAATGTTCGATGGAAATCTCTGTTCCCAACACCAGAAATACAAAAAGCAAATTTATTTTCGTTCAGATAAGGCAATGCGTTCAGTCAATTAAGGCAAGGCGGGAACTAATCTAGCCGATTAAGACAAGACTAGGACTGATCCAACCGATTAATTACTATTTCTAATACGGCATATAATATGTGGATCATCTCTTTCTGATACGTTGATATAACGTCTTTGTCGTTATTTTTCACGTTGACATTGCTGCTGACTTACAAGGGACATTCGGCAACGCGGAAATTCAAAAAAATCTGAAACTCTGCATAATTGTAGAGCAGATATACCTAATAACAAAACAATTTTTCGTTGGTGCCCAAAAACGGTTTTAAGGGTGGAAACAACCCCTTGAACAAAGTTGATTTTTGTCTTTCTAAGCGAATATTATCGAAACTATTAAAGATATGAAAAAATGTTTTAGACAAAAGTTTTATGGTTTTAAAAGTACTTTATTATGCTATATTTAGATTTTTTAAAAATGTAAAATTGTGTATAAAATACCCCCCCTCCTTCTCTTTTTTCAAATTGTTAAAATCAATTGTCCAACCAAAATAAAGCTTATTTTATTACAAATTCAACCATATATAATAACATTATGTTTGGAAAAGGCAATATTGAAAAAAAAATTAAAAATGCTCTTATATATATGCTACGCGTACCAAACTTATGGGTTCGCTGCTTGACGATGGCATTTCTTTCTCCCTCATAATTACTGACTGTAAAAGGTAAGGAAGGAATAAAAACAGGTAATTTAAGAAAAGAATAAAGTTGATGTTAAGAAGTAAGTTGAAGAAGAACAGCATGATAAGGAGGACGCAGAGAGAGTGTATATAACCCTAATATAGATAATCTTTTAAATTCAATTGTAAAGAACAAATAAGGAAATGAATGATATGAAGAAAAAAGGAGAACACACACGGATTTAATAATGAAAAATATAATTTATAAATTTATTCAGTGTACATTTGTGTGTATGTGTTTTGCTTCATTCAGTATATAGGTTTTATTAATTAAGTAGTCGATATAGATATTCGAGTGAAAGATATCTTATATTTTGGTATGGATTATAATATATACAAATTTTACAGGAATTGAGGACAGTAAAATATTATTTATTCTATATAATTATTACAATAATGATATTGCTCAAAGAAATGTTCAAAACAAAAATATTGCTTGCACCATGCACAACGTATAAAAGCCATTTTACCACAAATGCTACATTTTGGTATACATTTTTCTTCTTTAAAATAACAATAATCGATTGGATTATGAAATTTTTCAGGCCGTGTTGATAAATAACCACTTTTATACCAGCTATATCTAAATAAATTTCGAAATCTTGGAGAAGACAGTTGATTGTGTGTTAAAGATTGCAATTTTATTATGTTATTACGTAAATGTAAATTTATGTCATAATTATTTATAATAACACTATCAGAAAAGCTTCGAACAAAATTTTTCCAGATTCTGAAACCAAAAACATCTAATGGCTGTATAAAAGCAGTTGTTTTTTTGGTATTGTTAGAATATTTACATGTTTGTCTTTTGGTACAAGTTCTTCCAATTGGTTCGGGCAATGTCCTGTCCATGAATCAAGCAGTAGTATACTTTTCTCTCCAGTGTTTGGTAGATACACTTCTTGGAACCAATTTTTGAAATGTTCAGTTGTCAATTTCCCTGATTTTGAAGCCGCAATGTAAATATTCACTGGTCTAAAAAGAGTTTGTTCTACTTGTGGTCCAAAAACACCAGTAGATTCTTTTAATACTATATACAAAGGCGAAAGGAGATGTCCATCTGCAGATATAATAGGCATAATGGTGTAGCTATGAGTCATAGCAGATAAAGATTGGATAGTAGCTCCAACTGTCTTCACTCCTACATTAGCTAATGCTTCTTCCTGCATGTATTTCTAAATTAAAGCCACTTTCGTCCGCATTATAAGTTGATTCAGCACCGATTACATTAATACGTGGCTTTACTGTATTTACAAATTCCTCAGCGTTTTGACGTATAGTTAGATCAGTTAAATGAGAAGACCGCGTTTTAAATGCAGTTATTTTACGTGATGTAATACGATGTGCCTTTTTAAAATTCCATATCCACCAATTTCCTGCTTTAAATGAAGAAAAATCCACTTGTTCCTTTGCTTCTAGTGCCCATTTTCGCAGATTTATATCATGAATAATAAGTCCTCTATTAACAGCTTCTTGGAATTTTATAAGAACATATTCAGCAATAACTACAAGTTTGTCTGTATTTGAACCCCCACGCATTACATGTTCTTGCCATCTGTGCAATTGTTGAATAGATTTTACCTAGAAGAAAACAAATCTCAATATTAAACAATTCGAATTCAAAAATAAAAGAAGTTATATACGAATTAAATGTTCACGAAACATCAAATTGTAGAACTTAAAATAAAAAACAACGCGACTCTAACTATATAATTTACAGCTTTGGTCATAAGTATAAAGCATCTCTAACTCATTGTATTTTCCTAGAAATCAATGCATATACTCATAGTAAATATATAATCTCTTTACAATAAATATTATATTAATATTTTATAATATAATGTGTATATTATATTTATGTATATTATATTTATATTATAATTTATATTATATTAATATTATATTATATTACAATAAATATTGTAAAATAAATATTATTTTCCACATATTCTTATATTATATTTTTTTATTATATTATTTTTCCATATACTCGTATACTATATGTTCTCCATATATTCATATAGTATGTTTTTGTTACACAATTTAAATAAATTTTTTGGGATGCTTTATACTTATAGTCAAAGCTGCATGTACAATGACCGACAATGATGCGTTCCGCGAAAGGGGAAATAGAGTTCTCTCTGTCGCGGAACGAATCACTGCCGGTCACTGTACACCGTAAAAGCCTCAAGTATTTTACTATATATTATTCTTCTTATTTTTTAATTAAACTTTACTTTTCTAAAACGATGTTGTACAGAAGTAAGAGATAAATGTCCTTTCTTTCCACTCTTCCAAAATTCGATTGCCTTTTTCTTATAATTTAAGTTTACATTTCCACCTTCATCATCCACAGTGCAAACTTCATTTCCATAATTATCTTCTTCAGCATCAATATCGTACACATCTACAAATTGTACGTCATGCGGTTCTGATGGATCGTCAAAATCAAGTCCCCACTCATGTTCGATCGTAATATCGTGATGTATAGCACTCTTTATTAAATCAGTAATTGTATCATGGAGTTCCACCTCTTGATGATTAACAGGAGTTATTGCAATATTTGTGAAATGAAATGTCGCAATTAACAAATTAATAACATTAGCTGGATTTATTACTGACATTATGATACAAATCTTAAGGATATTTTAATTAAACATTTCTCACAGCAATAATAATATACGTACTGCTTCAATAACTGCTTCAATAACACTGAAATGTATTCCAAAATGG